TTAATTACTGATATATAGTGCCATTACAAAGGGGGATCAAAATAAGTGGAGACCCAAACCAATGAGTTCAAAATGTCAACTGGATAATTCACAGTTTCCTAGGCGTCGATAGATTCGTTTGACACCAAGTCCCGTGGCAACAACTGTTGTACCATTGAATTTATTTCATTGACGTCCACATTTTACATTAAAGGAAATACAAATATAAATAATTATTCCACCCATAATACAAGTATATAACAGCCCTAGCGACAAGGCCTTCAGCTGTGGGCTTAATTTGACTTGTACTTTTTTTATGAGATATTAGCTATGAATATGTACAGTAGGGAGCACAAATGAGTGCATGTTTGTGATTCGTATATTTATTCCTGCATAATAGTAGAAGTAACAAAGAAAAATTTAAAAGTTTTTTTCCCTTTAATTTATGTTCATTTCTAAACAAAATGGTTAATAATACAAAAAGTAAAATAAGCAATTAAAAAAAAACAAATAAAACTAAAACAACACCCATGTACTCAATTTTGCACCTTACAGAAACTTTCAGAAAATAACTAATTTTTAGTATTAATTAATAACCCTTTATTACACAAAACACTTTGTTCACGGTTTGACATACTTTCCACCAAGTTCTGTATAATTTCATTTGGAATGCTATTCCATTACCGCTGTATCCGTTGCCAAATCTCGTCCACACTCATTGGGGTTGATCGGTATTGTCCCAACTTTATTTTTACGATTGACGACAAATTATCAATCGGATTGAGATCAGGACTTTGGGCAGGCTCCTGCATCAGTACGAAATTTTATTCCGTAGGCAATTTCTTCCCGATTTTGGACGTATATTTTGGATCGCCTTTATGTTAAAATATGACTTCTTATTTAAGATAAGCACTTCTCTCCCCAAAATCAAATATATGAGTCTGCAAAGTATGCAGATAGTCTTCTATCTTCATTATTCCATAAATTTTTGCAAAGGTACAACATGCCACCAAGTGGCATTTATTTATTTATAATCCGTCAAAAATTTTTCTATGGGCCCTAACTTGTACTTTGGAGACAATAACTCGCCTTTCCTGAACGCGTATGATCATTGATTGGCTTATGTTAAGCTCTTTAGATCATATTCGTGAGGAAGAGCAGGCTCATTATATTCTCATGGCTATTATATTCTCCTCAATGCGTGGTGATAGTTTCCTTCGTTATTTTGAAGAGCTATGGAATTAATGTAATAACTGTTAAAAACAATATTTTTTTATTAATCAAAAGTTCTTACCAGGCGCATTAAAGCACAATTTGATATTTTTTGTTAAAAGCTTAACGGGTGCATAATTCAGTACATGCGAGTTGTTTTAGTTTTATTTGGTTTTTTCTTAAAATTGCATATTTTATTTTTTGTATTATTAACCATTTCCTTTAGAATTGAACAACAAATAAAGGAAAAAAAAATTCTCTTTGCCACTTCTACCATTATGCAGGAATAAATATACGAATCACAAACATGTACTCATTTGTGCTCCCTACTGTATGTATATACAATACTAATACTTATGGTTATACTTATATACTAATGTTTATGCTTATGCTTATTTAAGAGGGAGCAATACAAGGTATATCACAAATATATGTTATAGGTATACTACAAATATTTACAGAAATTTAATTAAGATAGAGTTATAGAGTATGGAAGGTATAGGAAATTGTGGTAAGATTTTACTATGCTGATTTTAGATAAGATGCTTCAAGTGGGCTCTGGAGATGAAATTGTAAATTTTGTTCATATTGGCAATTGACGGTTCTTTGAGGAGTTTAGGTAGAAAAGACTGGACATAGTCTCGTCGCATATTGCAAAAGATAGGAGAGAGGTTCAATATGTGTTCTACAGAATTTGTTGGACTGTTGCATATGTTGGTGAGTTAAGATAGTGTGTCTCAAACGGAGTCGTGTGAAATTTTGATATCCGGGATGCTGCATGTAGAGGGGTATACTGCTTATCTTTGTTCGAGATTTACGTGCCGGTAGCGGTTGTCATAAGTATACCACACCGCTTTCGCTTTAAGCTTCGAGAAATTTTTTACCAATTACACAATGTCATTGCTGTCATTAGTTCTCAATAAATACATGGACTAAGAGTAGCGGCTATTAATTAATTTCTCCCGAATTTCTCTGATTAGAGGACACTGTTGGATGTATTTCGAATGGCTGTACTGTTGCAAGGCTGCCGGTGCAGATAACATATTTAATATCGAGAAATATATTGTCCATTGTTATAGAAGTAGCTTAAGAAATTATACTTAATCTATTACTTTTAGAACTATTATTATTAAATACATATTAGTTAGCATTAAATACAACATTGTAAATTGGAATAAGCACACGACAACCCTGTAATGAACTTGGTGTCAGGTGTGAAAATGGTCGATGAAAAAACCGAAGTTACTAATCAAAGTCAGACCATGGCTTTTGCGGCAACTCTTCAATCAGTCGATCTTAAAGCTACAAATTTTGCAATGCATCTAATCTAGAGAAACAATCATATTCTAAAAACGTGGCCTAACTTCATCTCATTGGACCATTGTCGCTAAAATTTTGTAACTCTTTCAACGAAAATGTAGACAATATTAAATATGATTACTTGCTCCTCAAATTAGACGAATATTTCGTGCCTAAAGTAAATATAGCGATGGAGCGACATAAATTTTCATGTGTCGGCAAAACGAAACGGATTCAATCACCGAATATGCTGCAGCCTTGCAAAATTTAAGGACGACATGTGAACTCGGTGGCATATTCAACATCAAAAAGCTTTAGACATCGCAAGAGTTTTGAAGCTGCAAAAGAAAGTTTACACGTTATCAATCAAACAAATGGTATAGAAGTTAGTTCGGTCGCAGCGCTGAGACATCAACGGGAAACGGTTTTCCGCCACAACCTTTACAGCAGAGGCGAAAACAAATAACAGCAGAGATATAAATGGCCGGCAACAGGGCCACATGTTACATTTACGGGAAACTGAATCGTTTCGCAAAGATGTGCACAACGAAACAGCGCAAGTCTAACAACAACAATATGTACACAAAAGCGGTAGAAGCCGACTAATTAAATGATTATGAGAGCAGGGACTGCTTTGTTACTGTACTTTAATCAGAAAGATAAAGCACTGAACGAAAATGGAAGTTCAGGATATCGTCTGTCAGGTGGACACGGGCGCAGGTAAACTATATGTCTATACACAAATTTAAATTATTGAAATCGGTAAATGTATAGTTTAGGTCCCCTAACTAAGAAGGCCTCAAAAATGATTTTTTTTTTAAACCGTCTTATTTTTACGCGTAGATTACAAATCCGTGAGCGGAAAGTGAATTTTTTCAATATATCCATTTTTTTAAAAAAAAAAAACGTTTTTTTTATAAATATGCATTAAAAATAAAAAATTGTGATACATTTAAATTTAATTTTTAAATTAATTGTTTTATTTTTTTCCGGTCTTGGACCGACCAGGGTTATTTTTTTGAAGCGTGCAGAAAGGAGTTTGACGCGATTGAATTATGAACCGACCAGGGTTGAATTTGGGAATATGCTGTTTTCACGAAATTTTAACCCTTCATATAATTTTTTTGAAGGGTGGCCGACGGCTAAATCCACTGAAATTGTATTTCACAGACTCCCTTCACATACCATCTGCAACCCCAACCCCCTCCGAAGTGGGGGTCATTAAGTACATAATTACCATAGGTTTACCAAGTGCTGTCGCCATGAATTCGGTACAGGTTAATATACTTGAAAGAAAATGTATTAAAAAATATACGGACGTATTTGAAGGTTTGGGCTACTTAAATGTGAATGTAAAATAAAAGCTAATGAAGATGTCACTCTAGTAGTTGATGCGCCGCGTAAAATACCTTTTTCACTACACAATGCTTGAAAATCAGAACTAAATAGAATGGTGGGGTTAAGCGTTATCGCGCGAATAAGTGAACCATTGTGCTAGTAACGAAGCCATTCCTATGGAAGCATTCGTTTGTGTTTAGACCCAAGGAACCCGACAAGACAATTCTACGCCCGCATTTCCCTTGCCTACTACGAGTATTTGATCAATGCAAGTCGAAATTAGGTGGGTCAAAAGTCTTGATGCTAATTCAGGTTTCTGCATGATACCTTTAGACGATTATTCGTCAAAGCTATGCATATTTAACACACTGGCAGATATAGATTCTTACGCCTACCATTTGGCATAAACGCTGCGCCTGAAATTTTTCACGCCGATGGTGAAATTGTTTGGCGACATTAAGGGCTTAATAATTTACATGGATGATTTTCTGATACATGCAGCTGATATTGAGACACACGACTTAATTCTAAAATATAATAGAAGTATTGGAAAGAGCCAGAGATGTAGGTTTAAAATTTACCAAACAAAAATCTTATTTATATCAAAAAGAAATTAAGGTTATAGGACATATGTTCAATGAGAAAGGGGCGTAACCAGACAAAAACAAAATAAAATCAATTGTCGAAATGCCAAAACCAAATTCTGTTGCGGGCAAAGAATTATTGTCGAAACAGATCATAAGCCCTTAGTCTCGCTTTTTGAGAAGCCACTGTACAAAATACCCGATCATCTGCAATGCTTTATGCTAAGGTTGCAGTGTTATGACTTGAAGGTTGTCTATAAACAAGGAACATTTATTTTCATAGCGGATACCCTTTCTAGGGCTCTTTTATAAGAGAAAACAGGAATTGAATTTGATACAGAACTGAATTAACATTGTAATTTGTTGATGAACCACATAAACTTGTCGGACGAAAGAATAGAAGAAATCCGAAAAGCCACACAAGAAGACGAAGTTTTTAATAAAATAGTAGAGTATGTAGAGAAGGGATGGCCATTGAACAAAAAAGATGTCGCTAAAGAAATTATGCCTTATTTTAATTCGAAAAACAACATATGGGTTATGGACTCAATTATTCTAAAAAATAATAGAATCATGATTCCACATTGTCTGCGAAAGAAAATATTGTCAAACTGCCTCTTACCTCATGAAATAGTGAAGATTCCATGGTATAAACTAGACTGTGACTAGTTTGAATAGAATACAAATCTTTTTTAGTGGTAATTGACTATTATTCGAAGTACATTAAAGTCGAGCTCTTAGAGAATGGTACGACAAGTAAATCTATAATCGCAAAACTTAAATTTAATTTTGCCAGCCACGGAATTCCCTTTATTTTAATCACTGATAATGGACCACCTCTTAATTCCCATGAATTTAAAAATTTCTACCAAGAAATGGAACTAGATTAAATGGGCTTGTTTAAACATCAATACAAGTAGTAAAAAAAAAAGGTTAACAAGTGCCAGGACGCTAACATGGATCCATATACATCCCTTTTACGCTATTGGACAACACCTAAAAATAACATGCCAAGTCCAAGCGAATATCTAATGTCCTGTAAGTTGCGTACCAAGATCCCAACAATTTTAAGTCATTTCGAGCCCAGAGTGATTCACAAATCATACTTTGATAAAATTGTCAAGCAACAAAAGCAAAAGTCAGCCGAAATATGCAACAACCAATAAAAAATTTAAAGCCTGTTGAAATTGGTGAGCAATTATTGTATAAAAAACCATCTACATCAACATTGTCTTCAGCTATTATTTACATAACAAGACAGGGATGGGACTTTATACAGAAGAAATAGGGAACACATTTCTAAAAAAAATTTTATGTATACGTATACAACAGAGAATAATACCGAAAACATTGAACGTCCAAACGAAGAAAGAAATCAGGTAGAAGAAAAGAATAACAAGCCCACATCATCCGAATTAGAAAACAAACAAATTATTAGTCATGAAATAGAAAAGTATGAAGATAGAAATACATAAAATGATGAACTTATAGAAAGAAAGAGTTACATTACCAAATATGAGAGAGCAAAAGTAAGTAATACCTCCTAATAGATTGGGATACCCAGATGTCTAATTGATTTTGTATGTACTAATACAACATAGTTTGTTCGTTAACTTATTTGCTTATAAAAAAAATAATAATAATATTATATTATATTATTATTAAGATAAAAACGGAAGATGTTATAGAAGTAGCTTATGGAATTATACTTAATCTGTTACTATTAGATCTACCATATTGGTTAACATTAAATACAACATTGTAAATTAGAATAAGCACACGACATCCCTGTAATGAACTTGAACTAAAAAAGGCAGACACAAGCGTTGTTATCATCCGCGTACGTTGAACGTGTTTGGAATCACCTGAAAGGAGTTACAGAGTGACGCCAAATAATATGCGGTCGTAAGCTAATTTTTGTTCATCATTTAGTTGTAAAAAATTGCGAGTAATAGTCACTGCCAATTCCACAGTACCATACTGCACTTCACGATTTATATGGTTTTGGATTTTACATATTCTGAAGTTATACTCTTCCTGAAATTACACATGCAGCAACAACGTGAGCTGTCCCCGCTACTTGTAAAGCTCAGTTAAGTTTTGATTGCTTCAGATTTTTAACTAATATTCAGTAAATAAAAGACGTGGACTTCGCGTTGACGATATATATATCCTTGACATATAATATAAGACTCATAACAAATCCCTGATCCTGAAGAAGAATGATTCCTGGAAAAGAGGAACAATCTGGAGCAGTCTTTGAAAGACAGGAAGCAGTATAAACTGGAGTTGTTCTGCTCTTAACTACCCCACAAGAAGAGTTTACGAGTACTAGCGTAAAGCCGAACACCTTCCAGAATATCACTATCATTATGAAACACAAAAAAATCCTCCTGCAAAAACAGACGCAATGGATATTGATAAAGACACAACCTAGTATCGAACTTGGAGCGCTCAAGCCTTGCAGTTTATGGAAGATATTAAAGTATTTATGTATATTACTATAGTGAAAATCCTTAAAGAAAAATCACATTACTTCCAACGCTCAGTTGAATACTTAAGGCATATAATAAAACACAATGAAGTAACTGTAGACCACAATTCAAACAATAAAAGAAAATCCTATTCCAAAGGCCATAAAAGAACGAAGATCCTAGGACTAGCAAGCTACTACAAGAAGTTTGTTCATGTGTTTTCAGTAATCACAAAACCTTAGACTTACCCAGTGACAACTGCATAAATACTAAAAACAAAAGTGCAAAAGTAGAAGATACATAAATTAGATGAAGCAGCTATTGTAACATTAGAGAAAGTAAAGAATGCACTTCAAGCTCAATTAGAACATTATCATTTAATTTATTGATCTGAATACAGTGCCAGCAATTTCGCTATAGGCTTCAGTACTGCTACAAAACAGACTTTTGTATCGCGAACACTGAACAAAATTAAAGTTGCATTGAAAATGAACTACTAGCCATTGTATTGTAGCTACAGATATTAAAAATGTATTTATATGCAATAGCTAATTTAAAATATATAGATACCAACAATCTTTAATCTACTCTGTAACTGAAAAAAACAAGACAACAAGCTGTACAGTTGGAAGGTGTAAGATTTGTATATAAGCGCAGACATCACAATGTAGTCGGTGAGGCTCTATCAAGACAACAAATAAACCCGGCCACGGATTGTTCAGAACACTCGGCAGAAAATTCACCTGAAAAACAACTCAACAATTCTTCACATTATACCAAGTCACGATGAAAACATAGACCCAAAAGACGCATTTAAACCTAAATGATATTAGATAAATAATTTAACACGTCTTTAATAAATACACTAGAGTATGCAGATTAACCAAAACGCTATAATTACAACGTCTCTTTAAACATGGATGAAAATGCATACATCAATCATCAACAATATGTAAATAATTTAAACAACAATGCTTTTCCGATTATGAGTATAAATTTACCAACATTCAAGAGATGTAACTATAAATTTATTATACCGAGTACACTATAAAAGGCAGGTTGTACTGTTATTTCTGTTTCATCACACTCGTGTACACGTCGGCCAAAGTATAATGATGCTATAAAATAAGGCAGGAAGTAAAATAGAAGAAAATGAAATACTACTAAGTGAGGACACTTTTGCTTAACAAGGGGGGAAATTAAGGAACGTATTCCTTATCAACAGTCACCCAAATACACGAAAACATTTTTATCAGCAGCAACAAAACAATATGCATTGAAACTTAGTAGATAAGAACACATCGTAACTACAAGCAAGCGACAGTCAGCATATGTCGAATGTTAAAATACACACGTTTTTATGGGCACTGTTATTAAGACAGAATCACGACTTCACGGCAGCAGGCTTGCAGTAGTAAATTAACTATTGTATATTTATAATTTTGTCGACGACAATGGGCAGCTGTAATGGTTCCTCTAATATGTAAAATGTAAAATAATTTAAAACCCTAATAAGTCTAGCATTATACTACAGAAGCATACAATATCTCTGATATATCATTTGTAAAAACAACTGCTAATTCAAAACAAATGAATTGACCAATTTACTTATTTTTTACACAAAAAATTTGACTTTGAACAAATATTGAAAATTCATTGAAATGAGTTTTAGTACGTCAAAAATATGTTTGATATGTCGCAGCCGTCTTCAAAGTATTTAAGAGGCTGGCTTCAAGACGCCATTTGCAGACAAATAAATTTCGCTGTCGCTAATTTAGTTTAAATAAAAGTAAACAAATTTAGCTTGTTTATGGAGTAAATCAAATCCAAAAATAATTCACGAGACGGAACTTCACCCAGAACGAATCACTGTGTGGTGCGCAGTTTTATCAAGGTGTAGTGTCGGGCCATCCTTCTTTGAAGAAAACGGTGAAACAGTATCTGTCAATGGGCACCGTTATTTAAATATGTTGAATGAATTTTTATCCAGAACTGCGACGAAGACGTATACCTTTAATAGTGTTTGGTTCCAGCAAGATCGAGAAACAGTACACATAGTCAGACCGGTTATTGCGGAGCTCCAACGAAAATTTGAAAACAAATTAATATCAAGAAACTCCACATTTCGCTGGCACCCAAGGTCACCTGTCCTGACTGCACCAGACTTTTTTATAGGTGGTTGTGTCAAACCAGAGGTGTACAAAGCAAAACCCAAAAATCTGACTGATTTGAATCAGTCCATTAAATCGATAATTGAGGCAATCCCGACTTCAATCCTTCAGGCCGCAATAAATAATTTTCTAATTAGATGTCACATATGCGAGGCTGAGCATGGAGGTTATTTATGGTTCATAATTTTAAAAACTAATCAATTATATAAAATTTGCTATACATGCATACATAGCACGATTCGTGAACCATCCTGCATGTATGTCTTGTATTGTCTTTACATGTAAATATTTCGTACCTGCTTTTAATATTTGTATACTTATGTAGTTCGTTTAGTGCATTTAAGAAGACAAAGTCGTGCGTGCAAAGTAAGTTCATATTTGTACAATGCAAAAAGTGGTTTAGTTAATAACATTTTTATAACTATTTATTTTGTGGCAATTGGCATACTAATATAATCAATTGCAGAAATTTCGCTTGTAAATAATACTTAATTTAATTTATTTATTCGTCATACCTTTGTTTTGCACAAATATAATATTAACTCTCGTTGAAAATTTTCGAATAATAATACTATATCACGTTTTTAACTTGTGTTATCAAATAATCATAATCTGCTTATTCTTATATTTTGCAGCTTTCAATAGGTTTAGTGATTGTAAAAAATAATTTCTTGAATGAGCCTAAGGGAGGTAGAATGAAAAATTGTGTTGTTTCTACTTGACGTCTGGGGTCGAAAAAAGCCAAAATCGCGGTGTGTTAAAATGAAGGGTTCAATCAAAAAGACTGCGTCCTGTAAGAAATGCTGATTTGAGACAATATATTTAGTGGTCATCTCTACACCACTTATGACATCGTTCAGGACAAGCGAAGAAGACGGCTATTCAATACCCGAAGCGTTGATTTCGTTTTAAGAATATTAACGCTTCGTCCTGAGTGATGAAGGTACTATTTGTGCAAAGCTTTATTGTGATATGTTCATTGATGCGTGATTTATATATTGTACAGTGAAAGACTTTGATGGAATTAAAAGTGTTTTATATTGGGAGTAGGCGTGGATATGGTCTATTTTCTAACTACAACATTTATTTTTAAAGAAGCAGCTTAGCCGTCAACCCAAGTAAAACTGAAGTGAACAGGAGATATAAGTTCCCAGACGTCCCTCTCCTCTATCAACTGTATTCCGGAGAACTTCAATCACTGCGTCGCAGAGGCCACTCTTGGCGGATTTTTCTCTGCTCATATACCGACGAGGGATATGTGGATGGGAAGAAGTCGCTGGAGAAGAGGCGCAGTGAGCTTGTTCACGGATGGGTCGAGCCTAGAACGGAAGATTGGAGGGGAACTTTCTGTAAGAAGCTATCCATCGATCTTAGCTTTAGGCTACGGAACCACGGTAGTGTTTAAAAAAAAACGCTTTTCGATCTGTAAGGTTCTTATGATTTATTTAAAGGAACTAAACAAGATTATCACGTATGTTTCAAAAACCAAATGAAATTGATGTAATTACGTTTTTACAAACCGAATGATTGCATTTATTTCCAAGTAATTTTATTTCACATTGAAACAGCTATTTGAAGCAAATGACATTACAAACTAAAGACTACGCGTTACAAAGGATTCGGAGTAGACTTTTATGGGATAATTCAAAACCGTTTGAAATAGCTGTTGTACGGCTTTAGCATCTTTATTGACTATTTTATATTTGTAATAAGCTTTGTGTCATTTTAACGAGAATATAACACCAGATATCAAGGCATCATGAATTTCACTTTATGTACACCAAGGATCATTGTTACGATTTCTTGCACAAGGATGTTGCAGAATGGCCGTTGGAAAAATGAAGAAACACCACGTTGAAAGTACTTAGTTGACTAATAGAGGTTTCAGAGCGCAGATTGTATTTGGAGTGGATTGAATTGGAAATGCATGGCAATGATATAACAAAAACTAAACAGTGAATTGACGATACGCATGGCAAATTATTACTACAGTATCGCAGTGGCTATTGAGCTCAGTTGTAAAACTCTTTCCCCTATTTTCCTATCTGCTTCAACCTTACTTAAGTTGGACAGTTTCTAGATGTTTCTACCTAACATTCTTCCACACAGCTTTGATAGTTTGCGGCATTCAATAGCTTTAGTCTCACCCCGTAAGTAGCTATAGTATTTAGTTAAAACTCCTATCTTTGCGTTGAGATAAACCATGCAGTAATTCAATGGACGTTTTTGGACCAGAAAACCCTCGCTGTTGCACAGATGTTGGTTGCTTACTGAGCTCACACAAGGTCTCAGTCTAATTAGATTCGGATAAAGATGCCCTTTGTTGCGAGCTTTGCAATTTTCTGCGATTCCAATATGACCACGCACCCAGACGAGTCTGAAAATGCTGCTATTCATAGTGAGGGCCGACACTTCTTAATTAACTTTGATCGCACAGTGAACGAGCTCTTAGCTAGTATTGCCGCTCTGCTGTCCGAGTGAAAGCTCACCTCCCTAAAAGAGGCTGCACTTCGTAGCAGACGGTCTACTGTCACCTTTATAGCAACCGTTTCTGCTTAAAAAATTCTACGGAGATCTGGTATCCTGAAGCTTAAGTTAATGGAGAGCTCTTACCAAAAACACTTCCTCCAGCCTTCCTCCGCCCACATATCCCTTGTTAGCATGTACTCAGAGAAGAAATCACACGTTAAAAATTTTTTGATTTCAAATTACATTTAAAGATGTGGATTCGGTTTATAGCACAAGGCATTTCATTTTGAAATCACATCAAAAAATATTCCATTTCTGGAACAGGCAAATTCGATTTTTAAACCAAATCACTTTGTTTGTATGTGAAAGTAAAACATAGAACGTGGATGTATATTTCAATATGGTTATTTACTTATAAAAGTTTTGTTGTTCATTTCCTTATTTTGTGGCTAAGTTATAACTATTAAATATATATTTTACTACCTTAAACAATTAAAAAAGTTAAACCAAAACTTTATTATTTATTACTCATATCACATTTCATTTCATTATGTGGTATTCGTATATTTGAGCTATAGAAACACCTTCAATAGACGATTTAAATTTTTTTTCATGCTGATTTTATCTAACATAAAAACCGATATATTCTGAAAAGTATCAACAGGGAAGTCAATAAAAACTAACCTTTTTGTATATTTGCACTACTGATAGACAGCTTTCGTTTAGTTTGTATTTATCTGTAATATTTGTTGGTAGATATGGAATAAAGTCAGCAATAACTGAAACCGAGCACATTAATGTAGTGGTAAAATTTTTATTATCTGACTTCATTATTTCTTTTTTCAATTTATACATCTTCTGGTAATTTGTCTCGTTATTCCAAAAAGAGAGTTCGTAGTTTTAAATATTCAACCATCGTTTTCGTATTAAGTTAAATTATTGTGTGTTTCATCACATATAAATCTACTTACCGCATTCGCAAGTCTTTATATTGATATCTTCATTGTAATCAGAGTATTCTTCTCCTTCATATCCGAAAGCATTGGTAATGCTTGAACTGATTCGAAATATTGCATCGAAAAGAAATTTCCCACTTCTATCTGCAGTTAAAGCATTTATTGTGTTTTTCAAGCCTTCTTTGGAAGACAAATTTTCACTGTTTCTTAATTCATTATTTGCAAAAATAAATTCCCCAAAAAATAGTATTAATACTGCTAGTCGAATACGCATTTTCATCTTACGTACATTTTGACCTACTTTGTTTTACAAACAAAAATTATTAACAATATTATTATAAATATATTATTAATCTAAAATAGAGTGTCAGTTTAAATATAACTAAAATCCAAATATACCCTTTAAAAACTTAAACATAAATTTTAATACTTATTGTAAAAAATAATTGTGGTAATAATTAGATTGGAGAAAGAATATTTAAAAATAATACAATGGGAACAAGTAATATTAAAGTTATATGAGAGTTTGGTCAAATGGATCTTTTTGTAAGAAATATCTTTAGGAGGTAAAATAATCGGAACTAAGCATTAAGAAATTTTTAATTAGTTAGTTTTAGTATCAAATCACGATATCCTAAGTTACGAAATTTTCGCGGAGTAAATGCGACTTCTGCAGTAGAGATGGAGCCATAATCGTGGCACTTCACAATGTTGCAAAGTCTACAAAGTTTTCGAATCCACGTAATGGCAAAACAACACACCTTATACAAGAAAGAATATGCAATTGCTGCAAAACAAGCTACATCAAAACCCATAATATGAATCTGAGTAATTGATCATTATTCTCTTGCAACATGTTGCTACAGAGTATAATAGTTTTGTACAACTAACGGTTGTTTGTATCACCTATAACTAATCGACATATATATGTATATGTTATATAATTGATCAGGATTACGAGACGAGTTGAAACTGTAACTTGAGTAAAAATTATGACATCGTCATGAAATTTGGCACACGTACTCCAATAATCGAAAACTTATAAATTGTCATAAGCCTTAAATTAAGATGCAAAGCTGTAATATGGTACAATTAATCCAAATAACGAGGGGCACCTGTAGTTTGAAAATGTCTAAAACCTATTAAGTTAAATTTATATATCCCCCAAAACATTCAAGCTATATCCCCTAAATTTGCACAGGCCAAATAATTTGGACACCTCTTACGACAGCGTGAAAAATTATAACCACGCCCACTCACCATATAACAGTTTTGTTAAAAACTATTAAAAGTGCGATAATTCTATAACTAAGTACGCCAGCCACAGAAAGGCTTTATTGGAGCAGGTGTCAAAATTGGATGATGGCCCACATTTAGGTATAATCACTTTGTCTCCGTACCTACACTACCAATTTCAACAATATTTGGTACAAACGATTATTTTGACATCTTCATGTCACAGTGCGAAAACGGACATAAACCAGGGCTACTTCCCATATAACACAATTTTAAATTCCATCTGATTCTTTCACTTTCCAGTATACAAATAAAGAACCCATCAACATATTGTGGATAAAATTTTGCAGGAATAGTACCTTTGAGGTGCGCCACCTTATGACTAAGACAGTCCAAATCGGACCAAAACTATTTAATCCCCCAGATACCCTAAAATGTGGACTACAGAGCCTGTGACCAACTTTTCCGAAAATATCAGTCAATGTTTGAGATATATACTTGAAATTAGGACACAATCATTTACTGATAATAGTAGGTCTGTCAAAAATGGGTTGAATCGGGTCAATATTTCCCTTAGCCTTCATATATCTAATAGAAATATTTTCGAATTTCCGGCTGACGTTATACCCATATATCATATAAAATAGATAAAATCGGGTGGAAAATTGCACTAGCCCCACATAACTAATATCAGGATTTTCAAACATCCGGTTAACTTTACTCATTATAACTATATTGTTGATGGTATGTGAGGTACCTTAATAAAACTCAGTGAGGATACATTTCTGTTAGCAGTACATGGTATTAGCTAAAATCGTTCCAATATGGCTTCTCTCTCCCATATATGTTACCTAATATAAGATTTTCAAACATCCGGTTCACCTTATACCGCATACTCGTATATCAGTCAATATGTAAGTCATCTGAGCAAAATTAACTGAACGTATAATATTAGATATACTTTAGTTTAATGCCGAAAATAAGTGAAATTATATTATACTGCATATAATAATATCCGTTTTTCTAACAAAACTTATTATAAAGGGTAATTTTTCTTAGAGGTATAGAACTTTAAATTGCAATAAAGCAACGATGGATTATTCGATTGACATTAATTTCATTTATCCGAAAGATAATCTTGTGGCATTATATTTTAAATTTGATTCCTGGTATATGACCGCCACGGCTGGCTCGGATGTAGTCCAATCTGGACGTCCACTTTTCAATGACTTTTTCCAACATTTGTGGCCGTATTTCGGCAATAACACGGCGAATGTTGTCTTCCAAATGGTTAAGCGTTTCTGGCTTATGCGCATAGACCAATGAATTTACATAACCCCTCAGAAAGTAGTCTAGCGGTGTTAAATCACGAGATCTTGGAGGCCAATTCACAGGTCCAAAACGTGAAATTAGGCGGTCACCAAGCGTTTCTTTCAATAAATCGATTGTGGCACGAGCTGTGTGACATATTGCGCCGTCTTGTTAGAACCACAGCTCCTGGTTGTATAATTCAGGAATGAAAAAGTTAGTAATCATGGCTCTATACCGATCACCATTGACTGTAACGTTGTGGCCATCATCGTTTTCGAAGAAGTACGGACCAATGATTCCACCAGCCCATAAAGCGCAACAAACAGTCAGTTTTTCTGGATGTAACGGTGTTTGGATTAGCTTCACTCCAAATGCGACAGTATTGTTTGTTGACGTAGCCATTCAACCGCACGTAGCGCGTTACGTATTCCGCACAGAACCATTATTTGCGAAACAAAATTGCACTATTTGCATGCGTTGTTCAGGCGTGATTCTATTCATGATGAATTGCCAAATACAACTGAGAATAAATCATTTGACAGCTGTTAAATCGGTTGCCATCTTGAACAGTAATGCCAACTTAAAGTTCTACACCTCGAAAAAAACCACCCGTTATTTATTGGTTAGTATTGAACATGAATAGAGTTTGTCTAGACCTTGGTCTTAATCTTATATAAATAATATCATGAATTCCGATCTTTTGGTTGACGTCTTGCACATCAATTCAATATATAAATCCCATTTAAGGATGATTTTAATATTACTTTTGCTGACGGGAAGTAATATTAGGTAAAGTAAAAAGTTCGTTCGGTTTTTTATTGATTTTTTAAAAGATGATAAGAAGATTTGTGTACATTTGTCCGATTTAAGTCAAATATGCGCCGTTTTGTTCGTAAACTTGTTGCCAACGAGATGCCAACTTCATTATTCCCCTCTCATAAAAGGCTGCGTCCCTAATGGCAAAAAACTCGGAGAGCCAATTTTCACAGGCCTCTCTTGAGGCCAACTTCTCACCATTAAGCGCGTTTGCCATGGACAGGAAAAGATGGTAGTCACTTGGTGCCAGATCCAGACTATAAGGTGGGTGCATTAGAACCTCCCATCCAAGCTCCCGGAGCTTCTGGCGCGTCACCAAAGATGTGTGTGGCCTGGCTTTGTCCTGATGGAACACAATTCGGCCTCTGTTGATCAAAGATGGCCTCTTCTGGATGAGTGCTGCCTTCAAGCGGTCCCGTTGTTGGCAGTAGAGGGTCGAATTGAGCGTTTGGCCATAGGGGAGCAGCTCGGAGTAGATGATTCCTTGCCCATCCCACCAAACACACAGCAAAACCTTCCTGGCCGTCAATCAGGTCTTGGCCACCATCTGGGCCGCTTCCCCGAGCTTTGACCACGACCGTTTGCGCTCGATGTTGTCATAAGTGACCCATTTTTCATCGCCAGTCACAATCCGCTTCAGAAACGGGTCGATTTTGTTGCGATTCTGCAGCGATTTGCAGATGGAAATTCGGTCCATCATGTTTTTTGCTTTAGTTCGTGTGACACCCAAACATCGAGCTCCTTTTTGAATCCAAGGTTATGCAAATGGTTCCAAACGGTTTTCTGGCTTATCTTTAGTTCCTCAGCAATTAAATAAGTGCTCATGTGACGGTCTGTTTCCACTATTACCGGAACGGAACCTAGCAAATCACTTTTGTGCTACACGTTCGTTTACAGTATCGGGCCCATAAACTAAATTAATGTTTTCAGCCGCTTTGGCTGCTTTTTCGCTTTGATCGAAGAAAAATTGTAAAATATAGCGAACTTTCTCTTTGTTGGTGTCCATCTTTGACGAACGCTCACAACGAACTGAGTAAATCAATCGAAAAACTGTCAAAAACACACTTTTAGCGCGAATAAACTCGTTTTCAGCGCCGTATAGTATGATATGATGCGACACGTAACACTACTACTATGGACAATAACGCCATCTCTTAGCTAAAAACCGAACGAACTTTTTACTTGACCTAATATAATATATATTTACAAAACTAATGGAGTCTGACCTATAATATAACTTAATAAAATACCAAATTTGATCATAATTCATTCACAATTTCGTCGAGTAATGAATGTTGAATTCTTTAGTAACATTTTTTAACATGAAATTTCGCAAAACCTGAAAGTATTTCCTCGGCTTTAATCCTTTTGTGGGGGACTGGACGGGGAATAAACGATAACATTTTTTACGTTAAAGAAAATCACTTGAATAATATTTAAATTTATTAGGGTATATATTAATACAAATGGTAGGGTCTTATAAATATGATATATATGGAAATAGCAATAGTTATAATTTTTTATACATAAATAGATACTCATTGTTTGGTTGCTGTTGTGAGCTTTTTCAACTTTTTTTAAACTCGTTTTCTATATTTTGGCAAGCTGCTTTTTGCTGCATTCACCTGTTAGTTTTTGAGAAACCTGTTGTTCATCAGCTATGTTGGCGCTGTTGATTACTTTGCATTGTCCTCTTATTCGTATTTATACGAGTTTGGCGGCCAATATAGGGATGTGTTTATTTGGTATGAACATCCCGGCCGCCTTGCATGATCTACGAAAACAAGTTTTATTAGTTTATTGTATAGATATGTAGGTAGTGAACTTTGTTAAAGATGGGTTCTGTTTATACTATAAGGTTTAAATCACACGCACCGGTTAAGTTCCAACTAAGTGCGGTGTTTTGTGCGATCACGGATCCATTGTTGGAGTTGAATAAACTTGATTTTATAATCCGTGAATATATGTCAGCTCCCAATACCATCATTATTTTATCGACCCTGTTAAACGTTGGGTCGGGTAGGACTAAGTGGTAAATTTTTTTGACGATTTCGCCCCTTATGTCACAGTTGTAG